ATATATATATATATATATATATATATATATATATATATATATATATACACTTTATTACTGTATTGCTATTTTGGGGTGTAACTGGGACCACAATTTTGTTCCACCTCATGTACCACATGTGATGCAAATGACAATAAAGAACCTTGATATTTCATAACTTTATGTTCATGTAAATGTTATGTTAAATTGTCCTGCAGTGAATTTGTTCCATTCACTCTGTGGACAATCTGCAAAGTGAAAATATAAAATTAAACATGTCACAGTTGAGACTGAAGCATCTTTCAGTGCAGGTTTGAAGATTTGTGGGTAATGTGCGTTTCACATCATGTGTTTACCGGAATTACTCAGAGTTGATTTTATTGCACAACTTAGATTGTGTACCAAATATACACATTAAAGTTTTTTTTTCTGAATGCTTTGCAACTCTTCCATCCACATAAAACACATTGCTGTCCCTCGTGGCTTGAGGCAGCCACAGCAAAACAGAAGAAGGATGTTTCTGATTTCGTTTTCCATTTCTTCACATTCTGAAGTGATTCCTCGTTGCAGAATCAAGACTAAAAACGTTACACAAAATTACAATCAGAGCTGTAGTCACAAAAACCACATCAGTCTGCAAACAGAAAATCCGCTAAATATTGCTCTTAGTGTTTGTTCGTTTTCTTGCTATCGTAGCCATGTTTGGTCCAGGAAGTTTCACAACTGACAGATTTTATGAAGTTGAGTTCTTCTCGTGTTAACAAAGTCACAGCACCACAACGACTTCAGCACCAAAACAAAAAGGTTGGCTTTAGAGGATTATCAGCACTGACAGCCTTTGTGTTGAACTAATTTGCTAAAGCTAGGCTAACATATGAAATGTAATGATGAAGATTCAACATCAGGTTAGTAAGTACAGAGATGCCAGATTAATTTCAAATCTTTAGTTTTGTTTATAGACCAGGGTTTCCCAAAAGTGGGCTCGGTACCCCACTGCAGGTAACAACGCACCAATGTTTCAATTAAAAATATTTGGCAGCACGGTGGATCAGTGGTTAGCACTGTTGCCTCACAGCAAGAAGGTCCTGGGATCAATCCCTGATTGGACCTGGGGTCTTTCTGTGTGGAGTTTGCATGTTCTTCTCGTGCTTGTGTGGGTTTTCTCCGGGTACTCCAGTTTCCTCCCACAGAAAAAAAACGTGCATGTTAGTCTGCCTTCAGGCCCAGACCTCTCTTGCAAAAGAGATCTGTGATCTCAATGGGATTTGCCTGGTTAAATAAAGGTTATATATAAAAATTTAAATGTATTTCCTACTAGCACATGTTTACAATAATTGTTACAAATTATAACAACCAGAGTCATAAATGGGGTAAAAGCAGTATAATCTGCTGTTTGTTTGTTTGTTTGTTTGTTTTTACCTTTTCTATATTTGTGCAATTCAACCAAGGACATTAGGGGTCACAAGTCTTTGACTATGTTATTTTGAGGGTCAGAGGCTAAAAAGTTTGACAATAAAAAACTGCAACTAAGATCCAACAAAGTTCAATCAGGTCCTCTGGATGGTTTCTTTGTGTTGGAACGTTTCTCCCTTCATCCAAAGAACTTCATCAGTCCAAGGAGCCACAACAAACTCAGTCCCACAAGCAGCACCCTCACATATTGGGCCAACCAGTGTGATGGTGATAAGACGGTTTCTGGAGTCCTGGATTCTTTGATGTTTTGAACCACTTTGGCCATGGCTGCCTCAGAGGAGTCAACAGGGGAGAGGGCTGGCCCCAGAAACCATCTTATCACCAGCAAACTGGTTGGCCCACTATGTGAGGGTGCTGCTTATGGGACTGAATTTGTTGTGGATCCTGGGACTGATGAAGTCCTTTGGATGAAGGCTGAAACGTTTCAAAACAAAGAAACCGTCCAGAGGACTTAACTTTGTTGAATTTTTTACCTGGATTATTGAGCATGACTGAGCTACAACTGAGATGTTTTTCATGACATGTTCTCATCAGTTCAGTGTTTGTTTGCATTAAAGCTGAAGCATCCGTTAGATTTAGTCAGTGACTGATTGTAATCAGTGTGGAGGCTTTAGATCAGGGATGAAATGGTTGTTTTCTGTCCCAAATTTTAGTGAATCCATACCCTTCCATGCTGCTGATTATCCATGCTGCTGATTTCTTGCCTTTAAGCTGCTATATTCACACTCATCTGTTCACAACAGACTCATGTTCAGGCTGCTGTTTAATACATTGTATTATTTTACATTATTAGTGTATATCTTAGATCCTTGCATACAGTTTCTTTTTTATACGCTATGTTTTTGCTATTTTTGGGTGTAACTGGGACCTTGAGTACACAGTTTGGTTCCACCTCATGTGATGCAAATGACAGTAAAGAACCTTGAACCCATTTCTATAAGTGTCTTTGGGAAGGACAACCATTGCTACCAGTATGCTAACTGCCCTGTAAAGTGCTGCTCCTAATAAAAAAAAACTTTTTTTTTTTAATTGCTTGTGTGTGAGCATAAATATACTTTTTATTTATGGGGAAAAGGTGGAGGTAACGGGTCATAATGAAACTAAAGTCGTGTGCAGTTTTTAATCGGACACCTCTAGTAAAAAGAAACCAAAAACTGCACAACTTCTCCACATTAGAGGCAAAACCAATAAAGCTTTTTTTTTTCCTGCAGCAGTGCAATGCATGATGAGGGGCCCTCGCCGTTAACTCCCTCCAAATGAAACCCGTGTCTGGCAGGTGAAAAGAATTGGCTGCTGAAACCGTGTTTCGTGCAGCGCAGGAAGACCTCAGCATGTTAAACTGCAGGAACACTTGGAAACTTGTAAAGTGGGAAGTCAGTGTGTAACGCTAACAGATTTAAACATGGATTAATTTGTACAGCTGGATATATTTCACAGAATGCACGCGTGATTATGAAGTTTTACGGAGGGTCTCTCGACACACTTTGCACTTTAAAGCTCCACTGAATTGACAGATTGTCAGAGAAAGAGTAATAGTTTGTTGGGACGACAGCAGCAGCTGCCACTCATCCAGAACCACAACTTGAAACTTTGATCTGCAGCCTTTAAATTACTCCGTCAGAAATGTAGCACAACAAAACAGCCACAGACACGTGATCTTATTCATTCACTGCGGAGCAAACATGACACATTTACAGGCATGCATTTGTGTCCATCCAAGAGTTTAACGGTCTGCGACAAACATAAAACTCTACCAGCGTGAGGTGAAGTTTAAATTCTAATAATCTCAAATACTTGGCTTGTCTTCATTCTGCTGTATGCGTTTACTCGCGTGTTTCACATGGTTTCTGTTTTCCCACATGTTTATTTGCAATCTAACTGCTGCTGCAGACTTTGTGCCGTTTTGTCTGTTCGTATATCAAACGTTCCTCACGTTCAGGAGCTAGGCCTACGTGCTCGGACTTTTGGTTTTTGGGAATTTTTTTAAATATTTAACTTCTTTCACAAATACTTTTCCCCATAGAAACATATTAAGTTCTTTAAAAATTTAATTATAAATATATATTGTAGTCCGCTACTTTGAGCTCTTAATTAGCACTTTGCTAATTTTACCTTTTTAGCTAGCCGTTTGCCATATTTAAAATCTTGCTAGCCTTTTGCTACTTTTGTCTTTTAGATACCCTTTTTTTTTTGTATCTTTCTGCTGATTATAGCTGCCCTTATTATATTTATTTTTTGTTTCAACCAACTTTTAGCTACTTTTACAATGTAGTGAACATTTTTCAACTTTTACCTTTTTTGCTACTTTTTATTGCTTTAAGCTTAAAAGCTTTTTGGTCACGATTAAATTTAATTTGCCTATAACATGTTAGCTTTCAGCCTTTTGCTACTTGTCCTTTGCTATTTCTAGCCTCTAGCTATGTTGCCTCTTTCAACTAGCTTTTAGCTAGTTTTAGTTTTTAGCTGGCCTTTTGCTATGTTAGCTTTTAGCTATCATTATCCTACTTTTGCTTTTAGCTAGCACTTTGCCACATGTAGGTATCATTTTACTGCTTTCAGCTAACTTGGTTGTTTTAGTGTTTCGTGATGTTAGCATTAGGCTAGCCTTTTGCTATTTTTAGCATTTAGCTAGTGTTTTGCGCTTGTATTCTGTTTATGCTTTTATAGCTCAGCTTCTTCAGTAACTGTTAGTTATCACTGCATTTGAACAGACATGGTCTTCCTTTAGTTCAGAGTTTCATTTCTGGAGGAAAGGCATCGTTGGCTTCACGTTTCCTGGGGGAACAAAACACTTGGGAGAGGATATAAAAACTTTATATTCTTTAGAGTTTTACCTTTTTCATGCTGGTTAGCATGAACCTGTCCCCAGCCAAGTTAAAAGCATCAGTGTGTGCACTGTTGACCCAGTGGTTTCAACATCTCGTCAAGGCGTGCGCTGAAGAAAAGCCGGTTTATCTCTTACCTTCTGCAGCCACAGCGTGTTGTTCTCCATTATGTTTTCCAGGTGCTGCAGCTTCTCGGCGGACCAGTCTCCATCCACAGGTGGCGAGTCCCTCTGCACGCCGCGGGAGCCGCCATATTGTTCATTCTGTGACGGCGGTCCTCCGCCCTGACACCCGTCCCCCTCCGGCAGGATGAAGGTGTAGCTGCACTGACCGTGGTGGATGCGATGAAACCTCCTCCTCTTCTCTGCGCCTCCTCCGCTGCCGCCACTTCCTCCTTTCCTCTGGCTTCGTCCGGCTCCTCCTCGCTCTGTGCTTCCGACACCGGCTGCATCGGTGACGGCTGACCAGGTCCAAAGCAGCAGCAGCACCAGGAACACCCAGGTGAGGTCCAGGCCCCTCATGACAGTTCGTTCTACTGTATGAAAGTGTTTGTTCTCAGTCCTGAGAGGGTCAAGAGAAGGTTGCTCACACTTTGACCCCAATTTACCTTAAGCAAACATCTGTGTGCAGGATACTTGCACAAGTCTCTGCACGAAGCAGTCCATGGGGTCAGATCCTGAAGGTTGTCCTCTTTGATTTCAAACAAGAAAAAAAAGAGCAACACCTGCTGATCTCACACCAGGTGGTCTCGAGTCGTCATTTACTCGTAGTAAAGATGCACAAATCACTTATCCAGCAGAGATCTTAACTTCTTTATCTTCTCGCTCTCAGATGAATGAGTCCATTTGCTTGATGTTTGGTAAGTTCTTCATGGTTTGTTGAGAGATGAAACTTTAGATCCACCCAGAAAAAAAATACAGATTAAACAAAAAAACTCCAATAAGCCAAATAAAGGAAATGGCAGTGATGAGAAAACTGAGGATTTTGAAAGCCCAAGATGTCTAATTTGTACTAAGAATAAAAGTTGCATGTAAATACAAGTTTCTGCAATGAAAAAAACAAAAATAAAATAAAAGTGAATAAAAAAAAGACTGCTTATTTTGTCCTCCCACCCTCCTCTGGTGGCTCCAGCTTCAGAAGTGGCTGAAGAGACTTACTTCTGCCCCCTTCTTATCTGAGACTGGCTGAGAAAACGGGGAAGGAGTGAGGGAGGGAGGTGGGAGGTAACGGGAGGGGAGAGAAAAGACCAAAAAGGAGAAGAAGAAAAGGGAGGAGTGGAGTGACAGAGATGTGAGGGAGGTCTATTAAGAGTGTTCTCTCTCTCTACACTGTAAAAAAATAGATTTTAAACAGTGTCAAACATTATCATGAAGATTATTCAAATTTTAATCTGGTATTTTTACCAAATGGTCAAACCTGAACATTAACTATTTATTTTCTTAAAGTGAACCTAAAAGTTTTTATTAAATTTTTAACAAAGATATTTGTTTGACTGCTTCAAGATTTACACCAAAAGTTAACTTCTTTAGTAAAATAACATTAAGTCTCTTTTGCTGTGGGTTAAAAATACAAATACCTTTAGTTGAATTAACGTTAAACTGTCGTAAAACTTAATTTGGAGGTTTCTGTTAGCAAAAAATGTTTAACGTTAACTCGGTATGACGCTTATAGCTACCTGGCTAGCCTAGCATTAGCCAAATTCATCCTTCAACCACAAACCTGGATATAATTTCAGTAATTATAGTTGGAAGTAGAATTTTAAGTTAAAGTTTTATTAATTTGACTAATTACAGTGTTGGTTTGACTTTAACTAACATAACTGAATGATCCAGTATAAACAAGTTCAAACTGGCCTAATTTTATTAACGTAAATTATGCAAAAAGTAGGTAAATCTTGATAAAGTTGGAGGTATAAATAAACAATAATTGATTTAATTGAGTCAAATTAAATTATAAACTACAAAGTGTTATGTATGGTTATAATATGGTAAACACAATTAAAAACATTCAGGTGATTTAAATTAATAATTACTGCGTACAATTTGCCCGAATAGAACAGGTGCAGCAAATTGCACCGATTTTATCGAGTAAAATTCAACGGTTTGTTTTTTTTCAGTGTATTTGCAGGAGGAGAGGGAAGAGGGAATGAGAAGGAGGCAGAAAAAATAAAAACGGGGGGAAGATTAAAGGTCTGAAAGAGGGGAGAGAGGGGAAAAGTAAAAACAGAAAGAGGCAGATAACAGAAAGAGGACAAAATAAGAGCTTTAACTGCTGACAGACAGAGCAAAGACAGATTGGTTTAAGAAACGGATCTGAAAGAAGTCCTGCAATCTCCTTCCTGACTGATCTTTCTCGTCTGATGTGAAAGCCTTGTATGGTCATTCACTCTGAGCCCGAGCTGGAGATTCTGTCCTCCAAACACAGCCTCGCTCCGAGGCTTCGTGGGGGATCAGCGGCCAAGGCGGACCACGTAGTCCACATACTTCAGGTTCAAAAACTGTCTGGGTCTCTGTGTCGCAGGATGCGCCTCCTCGCCGCCTCTCATCTGTCCTGCTGCGCTTCGCTCTACATGGAAACCAACACAGAGATTAGTTCCAGATAGACGACTGTGTCCAAGTCTTATGAAACACAAGCTTTTACATGCGGAGGGACAAAGCAAGTCGACAGAGTTTGTTTGCACGGTGATAAATTGTTCTGCAGAAGTCATGCAAGAAATAAAATCCTTTGGTAAAGGACACGAGACACACTTTGAGACCTGCACGGGGAAATAAAATCCAAAAATGTGTCCAGAATGACGTCTCAAGTAAAAGTACAAGACTGTTTCTGTTTAAAGGATACGGTTACGGCACCGTCCTCTGCCGGTCACACAGGACTCAGAGATAAAAAGCAGCTCTCATCTTATTTATTTTGACAAAATGCAGTTTTATTTTCAGCCCGGCCTGACCTCAGCCTACTGTTACTGCGGCTGCATACATCTTCGTTTCTGCCGGGCCGGGTCACCGGCTTAAAGTTGGCCAATTGGGCCATTGGGAGAAAGCAGAGAGGTTACACAGGGAATGGCTTCTGCCCCAACCAGACCTCATTCTCATGGGAACAGGATGGACAGCGAGCCTGGCCAACATAAAAACTGACATTCCAGCACAAAGTCTGACTGAAATGATCATTGGGAGTTTAAAAAAAGTTTTGTTCTCATGTAAATGACAGAAAGAGCTCATCCCCATTTCTCAGCTTTGCTCCTTGGACTTTGAGTGTCCTCTTGACCTTTATTTTGAAATCACAAGAGGTATAGTTAAAACGTCTAACGCTCCCAATACATCATTGGTTGTCACCGAAAGGAATGTATTTTTTTATGTAGAAAGGAATGTCGTGTTTTTGCCAGAGTTGCAAAACTTCATGTTTAATCCCATTTCCCAAAAAGTTGGGACATTTCCTAAAACATATGTAAAAACTCAAATTTAGGCAAATCTCTTAAACACAGTAAACTTATTGGATGTTGAAACTATAAAAAAAAGTTACAATTTTGAGGACCACCAATTTAATTTTAGATTTGGTGGCAGCAAAACTTCTCAAAAAAGTTTGATTTGGTGGAATAAAAGGCACATTTTGTAACTAGTTAGTGAAGTTAAAGTTAAGAATTGATAGAAATCTTTGAGCTCAAAGGACAAGGCTGGATCGTGTGTGACTGTAATGAACTGGTTCTTTGGAGCCACTCCAGTAAGAACAGGTCTGATTCGGTTCTGGACATTACTGCATGGGCTCAGGAACACTTCCACACATTACTGTCTGTAAACACAATTCATGTCCTCCACCAACGCTGCCTAAAGCTCTATCATGCAAAGAAGAAGCCACGTGTAAACACCACCCAGCAACGCCGCCATCTTCTGTGGACCAAAGCTTGTTGAAAACGGACGGTTGCAAAGTAAAACTCTTTCAGATTATTCAAAATTGTACTTTTTTTTTCTTTGAAGTTACGTCAGGTTTGTGGTTTCCAAGTTTGTGAACTGTGGCCTTCTGCCACATGAGAACTTTGTTCTTAATCTGCACCTGCCATTGTGTATCTGTTCCTCTCAAACCCAGCCGGTCGAAGCAGATGTCGCTTGTCCTGAGCCTGGTTCTGCTAAAGGTTTCTTCCTCATGAGGGAGTTTTTCTTTTCCACTGTCGCCTTCATGCTTGCTTGATGAAGTTAGACTCAAAGCTGCTCCTCAGATAAATAATGTTATTAACGTACTTTTTATGTATACGAGTGTTTCTGTTCAGTGCTTTGAGACTTCTGTTGTGACTTGGCGCTATATAAATAAACTGAACTGAACTGAAATAAATCCAAATGTAGTCCTCTGTACACAAGAGTAGAGAGACCATCCAGCCTGTTGTCAACGCACAGTTCAAAACCCTGCCTCTCTTATGGTATAGGGGTGCATTATAGTCTCGGGCATGGGAACTTACACACCTGGGAAGTTACTTTCGTTGCAGAATAATATTTACAAGTTTTAAAACAAATGCTCCCATCCAGTAAAAAATTGAAAACCTGGGACTTTTAATTCATATCAGAAAGAGAATGGGACGACATTCTCTCCAAAACCTCCAGCAGTGGGTCTCCTCCGGTCCTGGTGGGTCTCCTCAGGTCCTGGTGGGTCTCTTCAGGTCCTGGTGGGTCTCCTCGGGTCCTGGTGGGTCTCCGCAGGTCCTGGATGTTTACAGACGGTTGTTAAAAGAGGAGGGGATGCTTCACAGCAGGACACAAGGCCCTGGTCCAAGTTTTTGAGATGTATTGGTACCATATAATTCTAAAATACCCTATTCAAATATATATCTTCATTTTTAACAGTTGGCATGTTACTTTATTTAATTGTGAATTAAAAATAGGTTTATGAGATTTGCAAATCACTGCATTGTGTTTTCTTTACCTTTTACACAACGTCCACATTTATTCATTGAAGATGTAGCATTAAAGCCTGTGGTCACTATTAAAACAATGAAGAATACATGTAAACTTGTGAGTTTGTTTGTTAGCACAGTTTGAAGTGTGTGTGTGTGTGTGGGGGGGGGGGGGGGATCTCAGTTCAGAGCCAGAGAGCCATTCAGTTCACTCTCCCATTACGAAGAGAACAGGGACACTTTTGGTGCAAACGCACAAAACATATGGACGGGGCTGAGTGCATGCACACAAATCTTTTTTATCAACAGCCAAAATCGCTTCCAAGAAGATGACACAAAAGACAGAATCGTTAACTTAAAAAAAAGTCTGACAAGAGACAGCTAGAGTCTGTAGCTGCAGCTCGTTCTGACACCGTCTGCTGTTTGGTCTGGATGCCTTGGTGTCACAGATCCACACAAAGGGAAGCCATTAGAAGCTGTCTTCATCAGAGCCAGTGGCTCTACGTCCAAACATCTTCTAACCAACTAGTTAACGTGTCTAAAATTGAACAAAAACAAGTTTAAAACTTTAAATAAATTTATAAGAGCCCATTCTGTTCCAGCACTAGCTTGATTTCTAACATCACAGTTGGCTTTGGCAGCAAA